GGGCTACTAATAAATAAAAGACCGATCACTATTCGTAAAAATCCGTTACTACCTATCGATCAATTCTAAAGCGCTCTAAAGGATCAGCCGACTGTGCTCTGTTGTAGCGGATTCTTTCTAGGACGTGACGTTTGCGCCGAGATGGAAGCTGCACTATGCAAAAAAATAAGCATGCGCACTACGCCATTAGGCGTTAGACTTTTTGGCACAGAAAGTTAGCCTGAGGGAAGTACTCTCTCACACCAAACCTAGTTTGTCCCTAGCACGAAAAAATCGCCTATGACTTCACACCGCTTCTTTGACGAATGCTATTGATTTGTTATACATAATTTGGTCAAGAGCGCTAAGGAAGCTCATAATAATCTTCTCGATTTCGGGGCAACTCATATGGTGAGTAAGGAGCCGACAAACCATGCCCTGCATAGAAGCTATCGTAGTTTTATGTCTACACTGAAGTCATGTACACTATAGGGGTGACATCATAGTTATACAAAGCTCCTTAGATGTGAGGTGCAGCGCAACGTGTCACAAGTCTTCGGTCTGTCGAAAGCTCTCGGTGAATAAGACCATTTTGCGAATATAGGCTTGCAAAACTTTGCTTAATTCCTAAGCAGAGCTTGGAAGGCAGAAGCAACAGCGAGTCATGGTCTTAGCATGAGACTGAGTGGAGTTCAGAATTCCCGCGCTACCAGAGCGCGAATCTGTTGAGATAAGTAGGAACAAATGTATTTTGCGATCCTCCGGGGTGAATGTTGGGTTGGAAGATATCTCAGCGCTCTGAGCCGATATTTCTACACCGGAGTCGGTGAAATTAAAGGGTTCATATAAGTTGCAAGACTTGAAGAATCATTTTTGTCTTGACGAAGAAAGTCCCTGCTATTTTAGCATACCGTGCAAAACACCCTTCAAGCAGAGCCATGAAATTCTTTAATCTGGTAAAAAAAATGAAATTATCATTCAGGAATGAAGCGTGACGACTCAGTAGACGGTAGTGTGAGTCTTTCCCCACTACCCTAAGCAGTTCTCATTGAATGCGAGAAGTTTTGCTTAGTGTAGATTTGCAAAAACGTGCAAGGCGGTGAATTTAACAAAGTTGTACGATTGGAAATGGCGAAACATTATCCGTCTTGAGTCTATCGTATATTTTAGAACTAGTCTTACCGCTCTAGATATGTAGATGTATGTAATCTTGACATAGGTTAGCAACTAGATATGTAATTGCGTTATAGGCTTCCGGTGTCGGAGCGTACGAACCCATGCGTTGACGCGAACTGTTAGTGCTTCTGTTCAAAGTGCCCGGTAATTCCGTTGTACTTGGTAGCACGCGTTGTTGATCCCACAAGCATGTAGTGGAGATTTCTATCTTTAGGAAGGCAGAAAATGAGTCAAACGTGTCATGTCCTTGGGATAGCGGCGTATGTGTCAACAGGATCATGACATTGGTGGCCATAGGACCATTTACGGTAATTAATCGTTTAAGGGCACTCACGCAGTGATAGAGGCAATGAACCTAGTCATTATGGAAGAACAAGATCAAATATGTTTTCTATTATACAGCTTCGTAGTACTTGTAGACGATTCATTTCTCGGCTGACTAGTATGGATCCACGCATGGGCAGGTGACAAACCCCTCAAGGAGCAGCGACATCTTGCAGTCGGCACTGCGCGGCCGACTGGGAAAGAACGGCTTCTGTGGTATTACATGGAGTTCGTGTTCGGTGAATTTTCGGAGCAAAAAATGACTCATTTTAAGCGAGGCGAATCTCATGTCCTAGAGTTGTTGGTCGTTCAAATATCGACAGCGTGGGTTTTGTGAAGCTGTGGAAGTTTTTACTGATTAAAAAGGGTGCAAATATATTCGATGCGCAATTGCCGAAACCGTCGACAGTTCTTGGGGACACTTTTTGTGCAGGATGTATTCAGTAAGCGTACGTAAAATATCGATCGTGAGTGTAGCACGACTGCAATTTCGTCTTTTAGATCGAAGACACTGCACGTGTAGGTAGATGACTACATACCGAAGAAAGTTTTTTTGCATCTGGTATCGTCGTGTTGCTTCTCAGTATCCCGAATCTCATCCATGGTGCATATTACAATTAATTCAGAGCCAAGCAGATCCTTTCTGGGATTGACAAGCGAATTTCGCAGTAGATGCAGCTCCTTGTTATGGACTTCGTCTCTCGCCGCCATTACTCTATCATTCATCAGCCGTGAAACAATTGCGCTGACATTTGCTAGGCGCGATAAATATAAGGATGTTCCTTGAGAACAGAAGTCAATGACGTGCTTTGCAAAATGCAGCATTATTGACGATATGCGTAATTATCTTTTTATCTGCAAGTATTGAGCTCGAAGATCATCACATCTTCATACACTAATCGCTACAACTGTTATGCCAATCACACGCCGTCAGCGCCTCTGCTCCTCCATTCTTCATAGGCGGTATCAGGAGAGAGGGTCACCCTGAAAAACATGTTCTGAGTTTCTACTGCAATTAATGTCTCTATAACCTTGCTTTTCAATAACTATCAAGAGCATCTCGCAGATTCTTCACAGCGGTGTCAACGGATTGGTCAAACTTCAGTTGTTCCAAAACTGTCAGCCACATATTTTTGTCCGGCGAATGCGTCAATAATTTTTTGACCATCGCGTCAACACTATTCCCAATCACATGGGAACCGCTGGTAGAGGTACTAGCAATCCCAACACTCCTCAAATAGTTATAAATCTCGCAAAGTATGAGACCTTCTTCTATATCCGTAGTTGCATGGACCGGTCGTCCAATCCACGAAAGCATAAGAGCGCTAAATACACCATTTAGATCATCACTTTTATTCCACAACATTTGAAGAAGCTGGGCCCACATAACATCATCTGCTGTTCGCTCTCGCAGCTTCCCCAGCAGAAAGACACTGGGACTATCACTCGAGAATTTCGCGTATGCTATCATATTTTTGAATTTGTTGCTTTCGAGAAATGTTTCATCCTCCACTGTGGCTTTACCTGCCGGTTTCATCCACCGATCAAGCAGGGCTTCCAGCACACTTTTTTGCCATGATTTGGCCTCCTCGTTTGTTTCGCTGTTTTGCAAAATGTACAATAGTTTGGCCCATGTGACTTCATCTTGAGACATATCACCCAATTCCTTCAGCATTTTGGAATACACAGTCGGTTTCTTTGTCAAGCGCATATCATTGATTGCCTTTAAAGAAAATAGTCCTGTCAGAAACTGGAGTTGATAACTGGGTGTATAATTGGTATCGTCTTCAATATGTTCAGTTTTCCGAAGAAGATTGTCAAACACACTGACAGCGAGTGTGGTAAATGAAGGGTCTTCTTTCAGCTTGCACATATATTTAGCCCAGATGTATTCATTGTTTGACAGACTCAGCAGCTTACTTATAATCATCTGTGCTATCGAAGAAGTCGGTAGTTGAGACTGAAGTAAAGAGAGACTTTCTACCATGAAATCATAAGCTTGGATGAGTATGCGATCCGAATTTGCAGCTGCTGCCGAATTGTATGGCTTCGCAATCCATGAATGAAGAAGTGCATCGAATACGCCGGATGCAATAATCGGATTTTCATGATTGACTACATAAAGAGCATTACCCCACTCGAATTCATTTATCCATATCTCTTGCAGCTTTTCCAGCACAAAAACGTCGGGATTATTGCTTATGAATCGCGCGTACATGGTCAAGTCTGTGAACGTCGGGCTTTTTAAGATCATTTCCCTGCTGTCGAGAGAGTTTGTGTTGTAATTGTGTGATTCACCTATTGTTCGTAGTTCATTAATCCATAAATCAAGAATATGATTTAAAAGACCAGCCGTCATTGTGGACACGTTTTCGTCGTTACGCAACATGAACAACAATTTGCTCAGGACGAGTTTGTCCTTACATATGACATTACCAACCTCCAATAGAAATTTATCCCAATCGTATATGTCGACAAGGGGATTCTTACAAAGCGCATACATGCCCGGATCTGTCAGAAGCTTGACAATACTACTTGGTGTATACTGGTCCGTCACTGCTTTATATGGCCAAAGAAGATAGTCGAATGCACTGGAATAAAACTCGAACGTACGTTCGTCTTCGTGCAACACGTAAATCACTCTCGCCCACATGAGTTCATCATTAGAGCGCTGCTGTAGCACATCGCGCACGAAATCATTACCAACTTTTACGGTGGGACCAGAATTTGCAGTATGAAAATTCGTTAGCAAATTCACAGCGTCAAAGGGTGTGCAGCTCCCTGCAGCGATGTCGTATGTCCGGAGAAGATCATTAAACACACCGGAAAGAGAAAATTTAAGAGTTTGGTCGTTCTTCAGCTGGTAAATTATTCTAGCCCACATTATCTCATCTTTAGATCGTTCGCGCATTCTGGTCAACATAAAGATTTTAAATTCCTCATCTCCTAAACATCCAAATTTTTCCCAGATTGCAGAGCCGACAGTTCTCACATAATCTTCATTATTTATGCGACAAGGAGGAAGCTTTAATGCTCTAATCATGTCTTTTTGCGAAATGCTTATCCACAATTTTCTCTCCACAGCGATAGTTAATTTTCGAAAAGAGTCATCCGACAGTTTTCCAACCTTAAAAATAGCTTGCACGATGGACTTGGTGTGCTCACTTTCCTTCATCTTGGCTGCCAAAAGAGTCGTCGCGACTTTCTGATCCTCTGGTGACTGAATTTTAAACCAATCCAGCAACAACCCATTACGCAGCAGCTTGTTCTTGTCCTTAATTGTACGTATGAACCTGTCGATTGCATCCGAAATAGGCATCCTAAGATACTCTTCTCGGTGCAATATATCTCTCACAGCTTTGGTCATCACCTCGCCGGCAAACGGCTGGGAATGTTCGCGGATTATTTCGACGTTAGGAAGGACTCGCTCCTCGATAGATTTGCTGTCAATATCCGTTTTTAATGGCGTGTGTGTGTTCATGTGCTGAACAGGAACGAAAGTTACGTTAGTGGATACTGCATCCTTCACTTTGGTAGTCTCAACGGTCGTTAGCAAGGCCAGCGCCCCCATTAGGCGCAGCATGCAACGGTGTGGGGGGATCACAATCATGTCTTACGCGAATCAGTTACAGGAAAAATGTGAGGGACAGATCATTCGAAAATTCTACAAAATATTGAAGAATATTTTATTGGCCAATAAGTTTGCTGTATCCAGAACACATACTTTTCATATGGCATATCTCAGCACTTCATACCGTATCAAAAGTGGATAAATTCGCTGGATATCTTAGATAGCCTTTTAATTGCGTGCCTATATCCGGATTGAAGCTCAATATTCTCCCTTTCCTTTCGTGTAAATTTGGATATTCATGCACTGGTATATTGAAAAAGTTGTATGTGGGCGATAAAGGCAGTTATATCATAAGATATGGTAAGCGTATGGGTATATTAGGGGTACTACTCTATATAAAATCAGTTTTAATGAGAAAATAGAAAACAATGGCAGCTTATCATTTTACAGTTTTCAAATTCACATACAAAAAAGAAAGGTAAAAAAATACTTGATTGAATTAAGAAATGAGATTGAAGGGTTTGAGACCACTTAAGTCCTACTCCTATTTACCCTGTTGACGTCATTTGCAATTGTCTTCATTAGCGTGCCAATGGTCTATTTCGGAACTTTTTTCATCAATCTTATGTTTCTTTTAATTTTTGGACAGTGTGGCTTCTGTCAAACCAGCTGGATATATGTCCGTTTTTTAACCCATACAGAAACACGCAATCATTCCTACTTGCAGTAGGTAGTAATCAACCACCAACATTCTGATGTGCCATATTTTGGAAATATGTGCGCCACCTTGGTACCATCGCCCCCTTACAGCATGAACCGCTTCCAACTGCTCAATTCTAAAAAGGTATAGCCGTAAGGTCTCACAATCACACAAATCTGGATTGTGTGATTGTTGGTGATATGCGGCGGACGCTGTTACAGCAGGACGTGAATCACTGCTACGAGACATCTGAGTCCAAATTGGCCGACAGAAAGCGCGCAAACGGCTCGGTGACAGAATGGCAAGCTCAATTGCTTCGACGTCGAAGCTGGGAAAGCTTTGAGTCAAGAAAACCTGACGTTTGCATGCTTTTCATTAACACTAATTAATTGATGAAGAAAAGATACTGCATTGTAACGGGGTTACACGTACCCTGATAACAGGAATGTGTGTCACACGAGATGTGCATGGTGTGACCACACCCAATCTAGAATACGGTACGGAGCTAGGTTATGCACGAATTCAGTATATTTCGGAAAATCTAAACTTTTAAATTAGGGTAAAAAAAATAAAAATCGGTTTTGGATTTTAAACGGAAGAGCTAATTAGACTTGGGTAAGGCAATAATTACTCTTGGAGTTAGCGGATTGCGATCTGCTATCTCGTACT